TTTATCTATAACTTTAGTGTGCTATGTAATATTATATGCTTATGCGTAGTGAAAATGATAAATAAACAAGATAAAATGACGGTGGCAATATCAGATTTAGCCACTGACGATAATTGCAGATAATTAGTTTGATTAACGTTCCAAAAAATTTTTTTTTTTTTTTTTTTTTTTTCATCATCAAATATTATGGCGCCATCCCCTCGAACAAAAAAATAAGGATTAATTTGACGCATTATTATTGTAAAATTTTTAAATATTATATTATCGAAAGCCAGAATTAAGCCTTTAATAAAAGTTATATTACTTCATTGAACAATATTTCATTTATTTATATGTACGTTAAATCTAATATTGATAATCATGTGCAATTTTTAAAAGGCTACCAGATAGACAGTGACTATATCCTATGAAATAGAAATAGTATTCTCGATTATAATCTATATATAAACTGGGAACAACTATTTTTAGTTCTACTTTTCAAAATGGTTTAGTAATTCGTGACATTAATATTTTTACGATTTTTATATAGAATTTGACGTTTAATTATAAGTGGCTAAAATTGAGCAATAAAATTTCTACTATAAATAAATAAATATAAATATTGAAAATTTCGAAGTTTTTCTTTTAATTCCGTCAGGGTAGTTTAAAAATATATTGACGAAAATAACAGTAAGATATTTAAGAATAATTAATTTTCATTTATTATAATTTATCAGATCGATGAGTTTGAAATTAATTTTGAAAAACATCAGAATTATTTTATATTCTCATTCGCTTATAATATTATGCCAAATGATAATCAATTCTATTACAATAAACATCGCTATTACATAACTTCCTTACTATTGTCGTGCGATGCATCAGATGAAAGTGAAAATGCGTTTCAAACTTAGTCGGACACTTGATGCACTGGACAGACACAATGATACAGTGTTCACGATAGCAAATAAATATTACAAATAATGAAGTATTTAAATAAATAAGACAAATATATTCAATTTCTCAATAATAGATATTATCAATTCATTTTGTAGACATAGATTAACATACAAGTTTCGTAGTAAACTTCGCATTACTGTTTTATAATACTCTACGTTTATTATTCACAAGCTTAGACAATTTTAACTATATTCTGCTGTTAAAAAAAAAAAAAATAGAAAGAAAAAGAAAAAGAAGAAAAAAAGTATTTGTAATACGAAAAAAATTCATGTATTATCTTTATATAATGTTTGTGTTTTAACTCTTCGCTAATGTTATCATCGACAAAATAAATAATGATCTGATTCATGAAAGTTGCTTTAGTGTCACAAAATTCACCTGCTCACATTTCAAATGAATATTTTTCTTCTCCCTACTGAAAAACCTTAATAATTTATAAATCACTTTCTCTTATTAAACTACAAAGTTCCATAAATTTAATAATTTTTATCCACACATACTTTAGACATTTACATAATTTCTTGACAAAAGTAATGTTCTTAAGCAATTAATAAAATGAATAAGATACAAAGATTAAATTATAATTATTTTAATATTTGTAAATTGTCAAGTATATTCTTATATAGAATTATGGCTTAGTTTTCAAATTTAAACATTTGTACTTTCGATTTAACATATATAATATGTACATTGGAAAAGAAATTATTATTGCCGTCCATTTATAATTCTTATAACTCTTTCGACAGAATTATATTTATATGTATTTTCATAACATTACTTCTTCTTACTTCATATATAGTGAAATAAAGCACTTAATAAATATAATAATGTTAATGACAGGATTAATATCGCGTGTTAAACAAATTTAAAACATTTAAAAGACCAATGAAAATTAAATTAACCATTATTGAATTAAACATTATTTAGATTGCTAGCATAAAAATATTTTTTTATTTACAATGTTATTATCTCTATTCTTCAAAAACATAAAATATATTTTACTATTTATAATCGATGGTATTTGGGGGGGGGGATAAATAATGAAATAAATAATGCATTTATTTTGAAGTGCTATATTGATTAAAGAAAACACAGAAGACTTTATTCTTCTCTTATTCTTGATTTTTGAATATTTTTGTATCTTGTCGTATACTAGTGAAGATCACATATGCAAATATGTGATTAGAAAGCATTAATGATTTATTAAACTTACTAGTCATAATAACAAAATTCCATTGAATAAATTGATTATTTATTCTTCGAAGTAGAATGTATCCTGAGTTTTAAATTACAATATTACTTATAGAAAATTATTAAGTGAAATTATTAATTCACATTATATTTATTATTTTTATTCGGAAATTTTGAGTGGGCGTAGTTTTTTTATTGAATAATTTTTAACTTTTACGAAGACTAACGGTAATACTTTTCATATAATTTGCACAGATTGTTATCAATCAATCTCCCCGCATAATGAAACGACAATGTAAAATATTCCCGCACATTGTCGTGAATGCGAACTTTATATATCATTTGACTTACTATATAATATATATTGGTAATTTAACGAGTAAAAGTCCATTAATCACGTTGCTATAAAAAATGTAGGTAATTGAGTAATGTAGTTTAAACAGTTTAAAAGAGCTAATATTAGCCGTTGAAACGCTATAAAACAAAGAAGATATTATTTTTGCAATCTTACCGCTTTTGTTTGATATCATTTTTAATCGACGATATTAAATATTACTTACATTTTACGAATTACAAGGCTAGTACATCGAGTAGTATATTAATTATATACCAATATCAAAAAAAAAATCTTGGAATTTGATAGATCTTTTCAAGCGTTAAAAGACATTTAGTAAATTTACAATTTACCTTCTTTATCATTGCACATATACATTATACATTGCGTAAATGCGTCAATTTGGTGATGTTCAAAAGTAAATGTATGTTATATGTTCTTTAATGTCACACTTGGTAAATGCGTGCAACAACGATAGTAAGATCATCGCAATAACTAATTATCAAAAATAGGATGTTGTAGGAAATACATGCAATAATCGGCGTCATAGCTCGTTTATCATATTCAATACGATTTCACGCGCATTATGCATACGGCGAGCAAAAGGCTTTTGATCATGAAATGCGTCTATTTGAGAATGTAGATAAAAATAAAAATAGAGTATACATCGCCATTTCTCAACCGTAAAGAAATATTCATTTGCCTGTATTCAAATTCGTGTGAATTAACAGTTAGTACACGTCACTTAACTTAGAGCAGACTTTCGCTTCTCAGTGTAAATACACCGAAATATGCTCGGTTCGCTGCTTATGAGTAACAGTTCCATATGGTTTTTACATTTATCCTGTAAAATAAGTCATTATCTAAAAATAATTGAAAGTTCCAATTTTACATAACGTTGCAATAGTTTCACTGAAAGTAAATATCTCCTTTTATGAAATAACCACTTATGGTAATGAAAATTTATTTATATAGTGAATAATTCATGGTTCACTTTAGCGGTTACCGAACTTGAACATTTACCTTTGTCTAACGAAATGTAAGAGTTCAATAATAACTAATGTATAGATTATTGTTATAATTCCTACAACTTATCTTTTTTTTTTTTTTAATTTTTTTTTTTTTTTTTTTTTTTATATAATTCCATTATAAATAATTTGTTTAACCAAGGATTGCATCGGAATAAAATTTGTAAACAAATAACAATATTTAAAATAAAGTTTATAATAAAGTTGGATTAGAAACGTTTTCTTTTTTTCTATTTTCAATCCAATGTATCTTCCTTTCAGCATATTATATTATGAAAATAAGGCAAGATGTTCCCTAGTGTAGTTTTCACGAAACCTTATATTGTGCATTACTGTGAGAACGGTGAAAGTTTTCCTTAAAATGACACACTCGGCAGTACCTCCTAATCCTCATCGACCCCCACATAAAATCATATAGTCTGCGAAACTCGGCTCGTTCATTTCGAGCAAGAATCGTAGATTTTAAAAGCAGAAGATAATTTGTTGAATTCACAGAGTCATTTATAAACATCAATTGATAAGATATTCGCGATTTGTGCACTGCTTTAATTTAAATATCAAACACGAGCTGAGACTTACCCACGATCTTATAACAACGCAAAGAGAACATGAAAGGGATTGGGCGGAGGAGGGGGAGGAGGTGTGTATGTGTGTGTGTGTGTGTGTGGGGGGGGGGTAAATAATAAGGTGCTCCCCCCGAGAAAACAGACGTGGCAGGAACAGGAAAAGGGGTTTTACACTTCGACGGCACTCCTAACAATTAGAAAACAAAAAACCTTGTGCGTATTTTATGTTAGGTCGAACAAAATAAACGATAGAACGGGCATTAAAACTCTACAATATTGAAATTATTTTTATTGAGTATTTAAGTTAATACTATTATTAATTATTATTTATGATGAAAAGCTTACAATACTTAATGACGTATAAATATGCGCAATAGACATTACTAAAGCAGAAATTACGATTATTGAAAATGTTAAAAATTTGAAACTCGATCGATTATTCGTTATTATTATTTACTTATGCTAAACCATTTACTGTTTTAGCGAACGCCTAATGTTTTAAATATTTTCTTGGATTTTTAATTATATTGCTTTTCTTAAGGCAGGTAAAATCATCTGACTGATTAAAATTGTATTAAAATTTCAGATACACATTTGCAAAAAGTCTACTTTTATTTAAATTATAATGCAATAATCGTGTATTTTTAATATTATCTTATATTTTACTTTTGACATGTTAATCAATTAGTAGTGTGTCAATTTTTTTCTTCAGTTTACACATAAACATTAACATATTTTGTTTAAAACCTTTTGTTTAAGCACTCAAGTAAGAGTGAATAATTTAAATAAATGATTTACAATATTGCATATAAGGAATATAACAATGGAAAATTAAATAATACATTGAAATTGCTCGCGAAAGTAAATAAATTTCACGAAACAAGCGATTAATGTTTTAACAACTCTAGTTTCAATGGATTTATTAAATTTTTTCTTAGGGATAAAGCGTATATGGCTAAAAGGAGATGAGCGACGCGAAGGATCGAGGCACGACTTTGGATAGAAATATGGGACCGGAGATGGATTTGGTGAACAGACCAAATCCTTGGCTTCCGGCCTATGGCTTTCAGATTCAGCATCATGCCAACTTTCAACCCACGCACGACGATCTACGCGCTAATGGTTCGTTAACTTTGTCAATCCGCCTTTCTCTTACCCTCCCATTTTCGCTCTGTCTGTTTCTCTTTGTCTCTCCTTCCTTTCCAAAATATTTCTACTCTCCCATATTTTCCCACTGCCCTTTTCACTTTCTCGCTTCTTCTTTTTTTTTTTTTTTAGCAACCGTCATCACGTGTGCCTATTATTCTTCTCTCTGCTTTCTCCTAAGTTTGGGCGTATGTTCACAATTTTATCATTAAAACTTTGTCGTTGTACGTAATATACCGAATTTACTGTTTCTCATTAAATTTTAGTTTTGCAATTTTTTTTTTTATTAGAGAGCAATGAAAGATGTACAAGTTCTTTAAATGTTATGGTTGTATTTGTTATACGATCTTGTATTATAAATTTATATATTCTGCAATTTTCAGAATTTATTATTATTTTCAATAGTAATAGATATACCTCATTAGACATAATTAATAATATTATTGCTTTCAATGTCAATTCTTTATCTCTTATTTGGATATGTGAAAATAGTATTTTAATGAATCTGGGCTATTATTATTTAATACTAATCTGAATTGTAAATAGAAAATACATTAATATTATTTATTTATATGTATGTACCTTTGTGTTGTCTTATCAATTGACTAAAATGTGTTCAAACTCAAATTTTCGATTTTCAAACAAACGCATTAATTTAAAAAAAATCACCGCCATTGTTTTATGTTAATGCATGGTCGCAATGCTTGGTTGGGAAACTTAATTAAAGCTCTCTTTCGCTTGCTTAATGTTAAATGTTAAAATATTTATTCAATTCAAGTAACTTGAATTATAATATGAAACTTAAACACATCAATAATATATATGTATATATTTTATGCAATAACCACTACCAGGTGCATTCAAGAATAAAAATACAAGAAATTCAACTTACAATAATAGTTAGGAAATCGATTATAGACTTGTAATTTTTCCATATTGCTTCTTTTAATATCAATATATATATATATATCAGATTATAGAATATTTGTTACGAATCATGATTATATCGAATAGAAGTTTTTACATGAATATAGGTGAATATAATTAGTCAGAACAAACATTAATGGATTGCCTAATGGGCAACGACCACTGTCATTGTTAAATCAAAGTGCACAAACTGTTATTGGATTTTTCATTCACGTTTTTAAAGTATAACTAAAAAAAGTATATTATGGGTAAAATAAAACAGAAAAGTTCGTTAAAAATATTATTTTGTATACAAAGATTTGTTATTTTAATTCAAAGTTTTTATTACGTTGTGGTAAATTTCATTAATTTTCTTTCAGCTCATGTGCATTTGGATCGGTAACAAAGTAAAAATATATATAGTTAGCTGAACATAAACACACACGCACACACGCACACAGAAAATACAATGTATTGGTTTGATGGTCAAAATGAATAAAAATGAGATAATTTCATATTTTGCGATATACTGATACAGCGAGTATAAATAACATAAATATAGAATAAGGAATCAATTTAACCAATTGTTAATATATCGCGTTGACGATTAGAAGAGTTTAGAAAATAAAGTAACAAACAATTTTTTCGTTCATTCGCGGAATGCGCAATGTGTATGCGTTGTTATTTCCTAAATGCTTCGATGGCAAACGCATAAACTTTCTAATTACTTTTGCGCTACAGCCCTAAAAGCAATTCCCACCGCAATCTGATGGAGGTTGGCGATGCGAAAGTCAGATAGCAACATCGGTTCTTCCCTCTCTTTCTCTCTTGCCCACTATAAAGACCGGATGAGCTCTTGGGCCTTTAAATCTGCAGGATCTACAATTGCATATACTATCTTCCCTTCCTGCCCTCTTACGTCGGCCCATACAAAACAGCCTGGATTCGCCTGAAATACTTTGCATTGTAACAAGTGACTTTCCCGCTCGTATTGAGAAATACGCCAGGAATAGTTCAAAGTTTTATTTAACGATGCACGCAAAATAAGTAATTAAACGCAAGTTAAATGTACTGTTGACACACATCGCACAAGCCTCGGCGCGATTTTCTAGAAAAAAAAAAAATAATAACGGACGATAAGATGTATCGAAGGCTTATCTATGAGCCGATGTTACGAGTCGTTTAAATTAAAGAAAAATATTCGATACGATTCTTCGCTGTCGGATGTATAACGCCACTAAAGAACTCATTCACAAATTGCCGAATGGTTTATAAATATGTTCTTATAAAGTACCTTTGCTCGGTTGTGTATGTACATGCACGAGGGCGCGCGCGCGCATTATCACGCGCGTACGTTTGTACTGTTAATTTGATCGATGGACTCGTGCGTAAATCACATCTACATCGTCTTTTATACGCGAAACAATAATGAATTTTAATGTATTCGTAATTCATTTACTTATCGCGCAAATGATAATCAATACTTCAACGGATGCTGCGTGAAAATATAATTTAATGAATCGTGATCACGATTTTGCCGATTTATCATAATGGTTTGTAGTCTTCTAACGAAAATACTGCAAATAATACTGTGTTACGCGACTCGTCCGTGCGCGTAAATGAAGATAAAATAATATATGATATGTTTGAAGAAGAAAATACTTGGATTTATGTTAGTTGTAATTTTCAAAGTTCAGTAGTATATTATCATTGGCAATCGTAACGATTCCATTACGTCGAATAATCATTGAAGCGGTCATGAAAATAAAATCCAATACAAATTTAGTTCCAAAAATCACAAGCTTTCGCATTCAAATATTATCGCATAACCCATCGTCGCGATTACTAAAATACTTTCAAAAACTAATAATTACTTTTCCGACCATGAAAAACAATTTCACTCATCTCGCAACTCTCGCACTCTTAATCGAGCAAAGAATGTCGCATTATAATGTCGATGTAGGGGAAAGGCACACGGAATCTCAGCCCGTTCGCGTGACGTCCAACAGGATAATAATAACAACAACAACAACAACAACAACAATAATAATAATAATAATAATAATAATAATAATGACAATAATAATGACAATAACTCCTGGAATCCTCGAGCCTGGATCGTTCAGGCTGTTATACCGGGAAATGGGGCGGCACTCGGGCGGCTCTCTTATGGGAAATGGAAAGCATGGAGATGCGCGGGTCCCCGAGCGTTGGTTTGATGCTGTAATTCGTTGTGAATCGTTTAACTCCACGAACGAATATTTTGATAGCTCGGCGCTACTTTCCTACGCGTTTACCTTAATGTGATACTCGGCAATTGCTAAAGTGCGACCCATTTCACCGACGATTTTAGTTACGCGCGTCTGCGCCGTTCTCTGCACGATACACACGTTAACGCCTTTTCCGTAAAGGATGCATTCCGACACACACGTGTGCTCAACGATTCAAATTTCTAACCAAAGGAAACACTAACTTGGCAATTTTCGTAATTTTGATGTTAATTGTGAATAATTTGATGCTTTTGCAATATATGCTCATGCACATTGGTGTGCACTGTGCGTTCAAATTGAGATTGACTTTATCAATGTGATAAGGAGATTGGAAAACCATAATTCAAGTTTGGTAAATGAAGTAAAACTACAATTGCCACTTTTTTCAATAAATGTTATAATAAAATTTTTGACGAATAATATAAAGAATATAAATGGATGAAGAATTGGCGCTTGAACAATTGTGTTGACTAACATTTTTACTTATGAATATTTTTCCTTTATTTTGTCCGACATTTTTATTAATTAATATGCAGAATATCTCAACAATTCAAGCGCTCTAATTAAGGGGGGAAGTTGATGATAAATGAATTATCTTGCATCAAGGTTTTCCTTCCTTTTTCTTTTTTTCTTCTTCTTTTTTTATGTAAATGCGAGGATTTCACGCGAAGATAAGGTTATTAAATACGAGTCATAAATGACAAGAAGATGAAGAAAAATTATCTTTGTAAATATTCCGTCTAACGAAGATAATTTAATTTGCAGCAACAGCTAGCAATCATTATTTTTTTTTTATCCCCGTTCATGCGCAACCTGAAATTGTTAAACAGTGTACGTGAGATATATGCACATCCGTATCGTACTTGTTAAGCTATTACGCTCTCGTTAGGAATTTCAAGGTCAGTTTTAGTTATCGACGTCTACATCGACTTTTTAAGCCCAATCACCTATAATGATTATCTTTGTTAGTTTTCTGATATTTTAATTATTCGTAGATAGAAATGGGAATGGAAAAACTTCGAAATTCTTCCGCATATAATGTAAGGATTGTAATAGTGGGTAACGTATCGTCTTAAATAGGAATTATTTTCTCTCGAACTATCGAACGTTTATAACGATTTACAAATTAGCTAATTAGTTAAAGTTAATTCAAATTACAAAGTGCAAAAATTTCAAACTTCCTCAAATTCAAATTTCTTACAATTTCAGTATTAATAATACGTAAGGGCGCTGAAAATTTACCTTTGATACCTGAAAAATACCTTTGTTTGCATACCAGCAGAAATGTATTCTATGATTCTTGATAATCTTCCATATACATTTCTAAGTGAATAAAATTTACTATTAATCGAATTAATCGAAGCATTTTATAAACAACTTTTTATAAAGTTTATATAATTTTATAAATAATTATTCGTATTACGAATAACGATTTTAAGAATAAACGCTCCTCCGATCGTTCTCCCTATGGCCAAAATGCGGTGCACGAACTCTGTAACCTTAAGCATACGTTCCTTTTTCAAATTTAACAAATTTAACATTACGATATCATACTATTATGGATATTTCATGCAATTTTATTTAACAATCATCTGCATGATTAATATCTGAAATATAATAAATGCTGCATTAGAATAGATAGTTTTATAATTTCAAGTGCTGCCAGCCACGAGTTCATGAGTAATATTTATAATTTTCAAAAATTTAACAATATGAATATAATAGGTGTAAACTATGAGCTGCGAGTCTCGAGAGTAGATAAAATATGTTAAAATCCCATAGAAAATTTTACGTTAAACC